TTTTCTTCTTCATTCTATTTCTCGAAATTCGCGACACAAGTTTTTCGGCGCAGCGAAACATTACTCTCAACAATAGCAACTCGACAATTCAACTCGAAACTATTGTTGAAAAATTTATTGTAATGACGCCATATTAATAAATTTTATATTTTTCTTATATGCTTTAAGAAGGCCTTTTTTTGAAGTTCATTGTGGGTGCGGCTAGACCCGCAATGGGGCAAAGTAATGGGAGACTGCATTCTTCATATGCAGGACAGACCGTTTTTTAGAAATATTGGGGTTTTACTTCGGATTGGAATCGTCTCCCTTAATCGTTCGATAAATGTCTTTTCATCTTATTTTACTGTTAAATACTGCCAATATGAAGTGTTTATAATTTCAATGAACTTTGTATTTTTAAAAATCTGCTCGTGCTCTTAATATAAACTTATATAGTTTATTCTTAATTAATTATTCAATTGTGATAAAATCACAATTAAATATATCTATTTCGAAGTTCTAAAATCTTGTTATTAACAATTTGTTAATAAAATGTTGTTTTCATTGTCGATTGCGCCATACAAGGTTTCGGTATGATGAGGGCGAACGTTATTCAAAAAAACGAACATAACACAACTATTAAATAAGTGATTTAATATTTTAAGCTTATCGGCTAGAACAGACAAAGATATGGACTTTCAAACATGGCGATCTGCGGCGACAACGGCGCCGCTACTAAACAAAACAAAATGAGACCTTACATTTAGTATCTGCACATCGTGTAGTAAAACGTAGTACAGCCGACAGTCAATTTTTTTCCAAAATTCTTCATAAAGAACTCATAATTCAAATTTGCGGTTTTTGCAAGTTCCTAGGCAATGATGGCACGCAGATAGTGTCTTTCACAAACNCCCTATACCCGGGGCAACTTCGTCAATTTCTCTCTTCTTGTAAAGTTGTAATTATTTTAATTATTTTTATTTCCAAACTGATTTTAACCAGTTCTATAGTAAGGTAACATTCCAATAGACAATATGCAAAGTTTTTTTTTTCAGTTTACAGCAGTATTTATTACACAAAATTTAAGTAAAGCTTAACATGCCGATCTTGCCCCGATCTCCCCTATATCTAGTGATTATTGTGTATATTCCGGAAATTGTTCTTAATCCCCTTAATATTGATAATTTTTTTAAAAAATACCTGATTAGGAGAAGACACTTTTTTCTTTATGATTTTTAAAGCCTTTTTCTTTCTAGAATATTTGGTCTTAGCCAAATAAATAGTCCCAAAACTTCCACGACCAATTTCTTTAGTAATTTTGTACTTGTCAATATAATATTTGGCTTTATCAAAACGGTCGTGTTCCTGCTTTGAATCTGCGAGTTT